TCTTGAGCAACTCAACTGGAAACGGTTGGATACTCAGCGACAAATACAAGTGGCCACCATGGTCTATAAATCTATACATGGTCTTGCGCCCGACTATCTTGGTTCTCTTTTCACTAAATATAATCCACCTTATAATTTAAGGAACTCTGAAAACAAACTAGCTGTTCCATTGCCCCGCACCAATTTCTTGAAAAATAGCTTTAGCTATAATGGTGCGGTTATCTGGAACAGCTTGTCCCCTGAATTGCGGCAAGCAAAATCACTTAAATCTTTTCGAAATGGTTGTCGCGATTTCTTTGACTGAATCGATAAAACGCACACGGCATCTATGTAAAGCAGAATTTCTTTATTTTCTCTATCTTTAGTATTTAAATTTTTAGATCATGTTTATATAGATTAAAGTAGATTGTAATTTTTTATTATTATTATTTTATCTGATAGATTTACCGTGTTTAAATAAAAATAAAGTTCAAGTTCAAGTTCAAGTTCAAGAAGAAATGTCGAAGTCCGACAAATTTAGTGAAGCCGGGCCAAAATAGCTTAATATTTAACGGCTCCAAGTTTCCTTGTTTCGTAATGTCAGGAACAAAGCGAAATATCTTCTACTCTCTTGATCCTTAGTGAATTACCATTGTCAAAGTCCTATTTTCTCCATAAAAAAGTACCAGACCTCTAGCGCGGTTGAGTTTCATCGCCATCGAAATGTATAGACTTAAGTTGCGTTACTCTGTGACTGACCTTTTAAATGCACCGTACGTTACGTCACGGCAGTCACGGAACAGATCGTCAGCCAGCTAGTAGAGTTCGGCGTTTCAAAACTGTTACTCCCGCTGGCCGCTGCTACTGAATTGACCCATTTTGACTGTTTTCCTCACTTCTTAAATTAGAGATTTCCTTCAAGAAACCAAGCTAATTCCCAGGTATGTTTAAGATGGATGTCTAATTGAGTGATCAACATGCATAGGCGTACGGGAAATTTTTTGCCAGGGGGGGCGGTAAACCATTTGCCCAAAAATATCTCGCAAGTTGCCCAAATTTTTAAGAAAAAGTCGAAAAGAAATGAGGGCCATATTGCAACAACATAGGCCGTCCTGGCATATGAAGGTGGTTCGATACAGTTTTTCAGGGTCAATACCAAGTCTGAGTATAAACTACGTCGCCATAAACCAACATTTGGAAAAATTGTAGACTGCAAAACAGTCCGTATTTTTGCGTATTCAAGTACGCGCGAGCAGTCAAACAAAAGGTCTGGAGGCTCGGGCGCTTCGCGCGCGTAAGACTCTTACGCCACGCGTTACCGATTTCTTTACTGATTTTGAGAAAAAGACCGACTGTTTTGCAGTCCAGAAAAATTGCGACCACAGTTGCATTAAGATGAAAATTTGTCAACATTAGGGTTGCAATGACATCGGAGATGTCATAGCAACGAAATAACTCCATTACCTATTTTACTTCAGCAATGATTCTCGGCACGGGAACCTTACAAAATCGTTCACAAGAGCTTTTTTCTCCAATACGGTCGCCTCGATGTTTGTGAAGTTTAAGCAAAACCTTAAGAGCGTTATCGAGATATTTTGCAATGAAGTTTTTATTATTAGAAATTCGGTAAGAAAAGGAAAATCTTGATTTTTGGTCGTTATCTGTAGAAAACGAAGCTCGTTATCTGTAGAAAACGAAGCGCTTTTGAACTGCAATTTCACCTCATAGTGGTTTTAATCTTTTTAAAAACATATGTGAAAGATCGTGGAGGTAGCTCTGCTTGATTGCTAGAATCGAAAGAAGGATTTTTAACAAATTAGCGAATAATTTTAAACCGCTTGATAGATTTTTTAAAAGAATTAAGATTTTTCTCGTAATTCAAACTGAGAATTAGTCAGCCACTTCTTCATTTTCATACCCATTGTAGCCTGCGTAGCAAGAGTTTCCAGTCGAACTTGCGCGGAAACGCTTGCTATGCAGGCAATACCCATTGCTATTACTGCCATACACTGCCAGGCTTCGAGAGGAGATGCTTCTAGAAAGTTATGCGAAAGTTTATTTAATCAATTCTCGACTGGAAATAGTCCATTTCAGCTAGTGCAGTGCAGTATAGTGCCCAACAAAAAAAAAAAACTGCAAATAAGTAAATTACTCATCACATGCATATGCTAAGCAACCACTGAAATGTAACTGGATTATTACGCCTACTTCAGGTTAATATTCAGGTCTTTAAAATAATTATATAAACATGGAGACATCTTTAAAAACTAACTTTGCCCAAATTTATTAGGTTGAGGAGAATTTGGCGTTATACCACATGCGTAGCAAGCGTTTCCGTGTGGCTTCGGAGCAAGGAATTAGCTTGAAAACCTGTTCCTCATTTTTGAATTATTTCAGTTCGACTCTTGCCACAAAATAAGATTTTGCTCGTTTTTTTTTT